TTTTCATCTAGAAGTTTCAAGAGGTGTTGCATTTTGGTTCGATTCCCCCTAAGCACTAATTTGGATAAATAGAATTTATTGTACACTTTCTTGATATTTGATGTATTCCCAAGTCTTTTGCGCTTCAAGGTTGCAAAATATGTTTTTGGGCGGCACCAAATTCAATGTCATGTCAGAAACACATGTCTTCTCATTCGAAAGGAGTCGACATGCAATTGGATGATCGACTAACCTTAGACTTAAATCATGATTGTGTAAACCACATATCACATTAAATATTCATTTCCTATTTGCCAACAGATAACGACAAAACTTAAATGGACATTCGCATTTCCTTGAACTGGTGTCCTCGCATTTCAAATTTTAGGTCTAACGCATATATTTCCCACTTTTTTCGCATGTCAAAGTCACAAATGCACATCTTCTATCTGTACCATTATCAGACATTCCAATCACAACACCAAACCCTAGTTTGGTGGCCTCTGTACAAATCCACTACAACATGTCTTCACGTAATTTAAACTCTTCTTCAATTTCAAAATGGTTATAAATATCTACCGCCTTAGTTACGAGAGGAGATACGAGAGGTGAACTAACTTGAGACACATTAGATTTGAGAATGTTATCTGGATTCACCATACCTAATGTGATAAAAAAATTAAACAAATTTACACACAGTTGCTGGAAAATTAACCACATTTAGGAACCGGAAATACATTTACGGTTTAGTTCAACTACTAACTGGAAATACAATTTAGGTATTAGCGTAACCTTTTTTGAGAAGAAAAGCATATTAATATGAAGAATGAGAATTGAAATGAATAAACTTTAGCTTAAATTTCATTTCCTTGAGCTTCTTTTGATATGATGAACCACAAGAATGAAGATTTAGAGTGAAAAAATGGATTGAGAATGGAAGGGTTTTTAAGAGGGTTTATGGAAAGATGAAGAAATGAGGATGATCATCCTTCAAAATGTTGGTTACTGTTTTAAGTAATATGTATTTTTCATAATATCGGAAGTATATTTCTGGTAATATATAAAAGGCAAAATACTTATTTTGGTCCCTTAACTATACTCTTGGGTTCAGATTGATTCTTTAATTTTTTTTTGTCACTTTGGTCCCTTAACTTCTAAAATGTTTCATTTTAGTCCTTTTTATCTAATTAGCGACGAATTTAGCAACCAATTTCTAAGTTTTTCAGTCGCTAATTAGACAAAAAATACTAAAGTTAACCATTTTGGAAGTTAAAGGACCAAAGTGACACGAAAAAAAATTAAAGGACTAATATGAACCCAATAGTATAGTTAAGGGACCAAAATGAATATTTTGCCTATATAAAATGAACAAAATGACAGAAAATTCAATATTCTCGCTATACAAACCAGAAATAGAATACCGGTTGCAACAGAACTATAATTCTGATTCTGTTTTTACCTTTTGAATAGGGTGGAATCATATTTGATCTGTTTGTGTGTGGTACATAGTACGCACCAAAAATATATTTCCGATTTTAAAAAAATATTTTAAAAATTGTGTAGAGTTTTTCTTTTTATTATAGGATAGAAAGAGAATTTCTCATAAAATTAGTGTTTATAAAGCTTAATCACACATGGATACAATTCATTTTATGAAATGGACCAATGCTAAATGGAAATGAGCTTTAAGGCTCAATCACACATGGATCCAATTCATTTTGTGAAATGGACCAATGCTAATGGAAATGGGCTGTAATGCTCAGTAAATCTGTTTTAATAATTTTAATTAATTTAATTTCTAAAAAACTAAACTAAAGTTATTAATATATCATCTAAACAGTATTAGTACGTGTTGAAATTTAATGTGAATTGAAAAATTCATTCTATTTTGATGAGAGTTAAATCTAATGAAATTAATTATTAATATTAATTAATAATGAGTCATTTATTAAAATCTAATTTTGACTAAGCAATTCTCTCCCACTATTTTTCCACCCTTCCACTATTTTCTATCCATTTATTTGAATAGTTTATTTATTAATATGACTTCTAAATTTATTGGAAAAGGAGATCAAATATCTAAATTTTTTGGAATCTCCTTTTTTTTCTCTTCCTCTCAATACAAATACTTTCTTCTTTGTTTTTCAAGTGATTTTATGTGTCATCAACGATTGAAATTTTTTTCAGATACTACGAGTGATTTAAACATTATTTGAAGATATATTTCTTTGAACTATTCATCACAGTACAAATCGTAATCTTTTTATGAACGAGTAGTTTTATCCGGGAGACATCGTGGTTATTAAGACTTTGTATGATTTTGACAATACCTTAAAACGTCTTAAAGAAAGCGTACAATTGCACTACTCTCCGTGTCAATCTTTTCAAAAATCCAATAAACAACCGTACATGATAATCTTTTGAGAATGAGTGGACAGCAGTTAGTGGCAATTTTGATTTATTTTCAGTAGATAGATAACCAGATGTAAGTTCTGTCACTTTGACAAATAGTATACATTATCAAATACTATTATTACACGATGATAGTGATACAAATTGAAACACAGTGGGTGGATATGGTAGAGTACACGTGTCTTGTCCTGATTCGTAAATGTATGCTGAACAGATATGGCAAAGGCAAAACCTGGTTTTGGATTCCACCATCCTGCAAACGCTACTGAGGTAAGCAACTCATAACTATCTCTTTAAACAATTTAGAATTTATTATTATTGTTATTATTCCATTTGTAATCGTAAGTAGTGAATGCCAAGTTGAAACACATGTTAGTAGTTACACTCTTATAGTAGCTAAAGAACACAAGTTAAGGTTCTTAATTGATAGTACAACTTAATGTTGGTAGAGATTATTACTGATTATTTTTTTCTTCAAAATTATAGGATTAAAATGGTTGCGTCCACTGCCATAACTACTTTGTAATGTCCATTCAATAACATGTTTTGAGATTTTGTTTGAGAAAACATGCCACTGGTTGCCAGTGTCATTCACCCGCAGAATATTCTGCATACCAAGTCATTTCTCAGTGTGAGATTAGATCTGTACTTACACAAACCACTTCTGTCTGGAATTTCTCATTTAGTTTTCGGCTCAGTTCCTAACCACCACAGTCATGAAAAACTATGTCTTGGTGGGATAAGATTTGAACCTGTTATGAAAATCAGACATGATTTCTTCCCTGGTAAAATACGAGTTGCTGTCGACGAGTATCAACAAGATTTGCCTGATGAAGATGATGATGTCTGTCCGGTTGAATGTGTGAGAGAGTTCAAGACTGATCAAGAGTTCTGCAAAATTCTAGAAAAGTCTAAAGGGACTGAAACTCTGATTGTGGTGGATTTCTTCAGAACCTCGTGTGGAAGTTGCAGGTATATAGAACAAGGTTTTGCAAAGTTGTGCAAGAAATCTGGTAGCCATGATGCTCCTGTTATGTTTCTAAAGCATAATGTAAGTATGTTACCTGTTTAATTCCTCTATAGTTACATAGTTATTAAATTAAGCATGCTAAATTTTCTCTAGACTCTTAATTATCACTTCTCTTCTTGCAGGTAATTGATGAGTATGATGAAGAATCTGAGGTTGCCGATCGACTTAGAATCAGGGTATTTATTTATCTTTTGCTGTTGGTTCTTTTGAGATTTATCTTTAAAAACTGTTCAATCGGTGCATAATGTTGTTTTTTCGTGTTTGGTTCTTTAGACATTCGTCTCTCAAAACTGTATTATTCTATTGACAGTTCTACCTTCTCCATGCATGTTATTTATATCTCTAGCTGTGCATCATTTGTACTACAATCAACTGCGTGTATTGTATAATAATATCAGTACTGCTCAGCATTCATGCTTTATTGTGTGTGGAATTTACGAGAAACTAATGCAGGCAGTGCCTCTCTTCCACTTCTACAAAGATGGGAAACTGCTGGAAGCATTCCCAACCAGAGACAAAGAAAGGATTATTGCTGCCATCCTCAAGTACTCATCCCTTGAAGTAGAAGATATTTTGAGCTAACTTCAAGCTCAAGGATAGTGTTACTGCACCCTCGGCGACTGTTGTGTGCTACAAAATTCTGTATTCATACTCGGAATAAAATACTTTAGTCTTCCTCTCTGCCTAATTCACTGTTGTCCATCTCCATTAGACATTATGAAAACAAAGGAAGTAATACCCTTGAATGTTTGCTGATACTAGTAGAGATGACCCTGACTTTGAAAGTGATTCAAACTCAATTGAGTATATATGTAAATTTGATTTCATTTATTTTGAAAATAAAATAGATATTTTGATTAGCACTTTTATATATACTTGAATTGTTCTGATTGTTTTATTTCTCTTCAATGATGCAATGAGATTTGGAAAAGATTAATTGGTTCTTTTGTTTGTTTAAGGAGTGTTATTTCGCACAATTGAGTAAAGAATATAGATATTTTGAAGAAACAACCAAGATGAAACCTGTATACATTCTTCTTTTTATTGTCTAAGGCTTCTAATTTTATTTTCAAATTAAAAAACAGATAGAGAGCACATATTACAAAATGATAATCGATAGATTGAAAATGAGACTATTCAAACAATTTTCCAAATGTCCCATAAAAATGTTCCCAATGGTTTTAAATAAATCATAAGATGACTAAAGCATTCGTACTGCCCTGCCCGTACTCAAAAAAATTATTGGAAATCATTAAATAGTGTTAGCTACTACAAGTTACACTAAAAAAAATAACATTTCCATTTTACCTCCCAATAAAAACTCCACTTTTACAAACTTAATTAGAATTAGCAAACTGTTTGTAAAAAAATATGTCAAATTGATGTCTTTCAAAATGGTACAGTATATTGTAGAATCCGTCTAAATAAATTACAAAGATCAATAAAGAATAGAAAGAGAGATGGTTAATCATTCAGTATCGAGAGGACAAACCATTAAAAACCCGCCCAACTAGAAAGAAACTGTAAATCGACATTAACTATGTTCAAGCCAAGAAACTAATTGCCGAGAAAAACTACTTCATGTCCTTTGTCCATATGAGTTCTCATGGACCCGCACTTCTGGTCCATATATCATGCGGCATCGCTCAGTGAATGAACCAACCATCCTAGACGCCACCTCCTTAAAGAACATTGAGGCAACCTGTACAACACATTAAAGAATATGAGATAAATCATGAACAGAGTTTTCAAAATATTATCACATCCTAGGTGGTTTAGCAGTGTTCTAATGAAGTGAGTTGTGTAAACAATTGTGGTATAAATCATGCAGGTGTGTGTAAGGAAAGTCACGTCAAAACACTGGTGTTGCTACGGAGCAATATTTGATCAGCGAAAGTAACATTCTTTTTAACTTAACATACACAGAAAATGAAGGACATGAAAGGTTCAGTGCTAGAGAATAAAAAAGTGTAAGCAGAATAAAGATTAATTTCCAAAGCAAAGAATAAAGACATTAAAAAGCAAGTTGAGATGAAGATATGAAACAAACGATAACAAAACTATACCTGTGAGTAAAGTGGAGACTGAAACTTAAAGTCCACCAAAAAATAGAGATTGCAAGTTCCTGGAACCGGACCAGGACTAAATTCCCATAGGTTTATCAAATGGTCAAATAGGGTACTCTTTGACACCGTTGTCTGTTAAAAAAAAAAAAAGAATCCAAGACAAATAAATAAAAATGAATGAGAAAATTCAGCTGCCAAATTTCAAAAAACGAAATAAGACCAGAAATGAAGACCGATACAAGTAGGTCCATCTGAACAGTCAACCAGTTTGAATCACGCACTGGATTGATAGTAAAGAAACTCAAACCCATATATATCACATTGACTCTTCTTAGAAAGGATCAAGGGCACATCAGCACTCTAGCATTTATAAAGATACAACGAGAACAATGATACGAAATGGAAGTGCTAAACTCTGATGTGCAAATGACCATCTCATATGTCAATCCTCGTCCAAGCACCACCGTGTATTGTGGTGGTTTGGTTATATTCCCTCCGTTTCAAAATGAGTGTCGTTTTAGAGGATAAAAATTGTTTCAAAATAAATGTCATTCTCACTTTTCAATATAATGATAGCTATTTTTCCAATTGTGTCATAAATCATTACTCTGCACACTACTTCCAATAAATTAATAAGACTAATTAAGTAAAAGTGCAATGTCTCATGATAATAAGATTGCATTCATCTGTGTGCAAAAAACCTTAAATGACACTCATTTTGAAACGGAGGGAGTAACATTTATGACTAGAGGAATTAATGATCCACGTTTATATTAGAAACTTCGAATATATATTAATAGTCAACTATAATTAGGCTACAAGTTAACTGCAGATTGTTGGCTTAGAATTAGCTTCAAATTAATACCTAACCACTGCCTCGATTATTCAGTCGATTGGTTGTGATTAAGCAACACATAGATGGGATATAATAGAGGGTGATTCATCTCTAGTATGAGGTGTGAAGAATGGGCACCTCAATGTCGTTTATCTAGTTGTGGAACAGAAGTAACGGTTCACATAGTCACGAAATATAACATAAAAGACAACAGGAAAAACTAATTGTAACATAAAGAACCAATTCGAAACATAAAAAAGAACTTAAAGGACCAATCCATAACTTAAAAGACAGCAATTTTGCCTATTTCTGATTCGTTCCATCAGACAAACACAACAGGCTACCAAAGAAAAAAGGCATGCAGAGTCAAATACCTTTATTCGATTTGGTCTGTCGAATTCAACATGAGAAACATAACTTTCCACTAGAAATTTGAATCCAATCTCCAACTCAGCATCAAATGATCCATCTGGATTGCGTTTAACTATCTCCGACCTCTGACACCACGGGACAAAACCATGATAAAAATCAACAGCCGCAACAACATCAAATAATTGCTCCGGAGAGTACCTAATGACCAATGAGTGTATCAGCTTATATATAACAAGCTATAGAGAATTTGCATCAACAATAATGCTTACAAAGCCCATGCACTGGAAAACATTCAGAGAAGTCACGAAAGTAAAGTTATTAGAATCACGGTGTTACCCCAAAACGCGTTTCTCCTCGTAAGTTTTGGACAAAACATCTTCTGCACCATCTCCACCAAATCCAATAAACCGCCTCGATTGGATAGAACTATAAATGTTATTATCAAAATTTCTCGAAAAGGTGGAAAACCTAATGGCAGAGGCGAAGGGCAAAGTCTGATGAGCGGCTCTGGAAGCAATGGTTGAAAAGCATCGACATCGATCGAAATTCTCGCTGCTCTTGGTAGACCTAATCAATAGATTGAATCGACTTTTGCGTGTCGATAAGGATCGAAGAGCTTTTGCACTCGACAAAAATGGCGGCATTGTCAGATTGGGGATATTTAACCTAATTGATTTTCCGGAAGGTAACGAATGTGAAACCCTAAGGTAAGAAGAAAGGTGGAATAGGGATAAAAGGAAAAGCGATATTGAATGGATTTGCAGATTAAGATTAATTGGGTGGATAGTTTTGAAGTTGATAAGAGATTTATTGTCTTGTGCCGTGGTTTGCGCTTTTTTAAAACGTGGTTATTTAGGTCATTTTTTTACTTTTGTTCGCGTGAGTCACCAGCAGCGCAGCACCTGGCGTGAACCGCCAAGTAACGTCGGCCTTAGTTGACCCTACACGTGGATAATGCAGCCGACAATAAGGAAGCTGATCGTCCACGCCTCCGCGTCGTCTCGACGACTCTCTTTTATCAATAAAAATTCAGAGCATATAAATGGGCTTATGCAAGTGAATATGGATGGTCGTGCTTGATGCTCTTGTATATTAGTAAATATTAGTTGAAGATTTGTATGTGTGGGTGAGTGACTTCATTCTTAATATGGATCGTCGTGTGTCTATCATTTGATGAAATTTAATTGTTATTAATATATGATTATTATTATAAAATTAATAATAACCATAAATATTTAAAAATAAATTATCAATAAATCTAATAACTATAAATATTTATAAATATCATTAATAATTATATATATTTATAATTATTTTAATAATTAAAATAAAAATATATATTATGATAACAGTGACTCGTGAAAATAATGAGTTTCAATAATAAAAATTTCTAGAGTTAACAAAATTTACAACAAATTATATAGAATTAGAGTTACAAAATTTCTAACAAACAAATGGAATGCTACATTTATAACTTAGAAACAACGACATTCAATCAAATATAGTTCAGATACATAACACATAAAATTCAGATGAACTGATAACAACCTATTTAGTCTTTAAAAATAAAACAACTTTCGTGATTACGCAGTGGATTCACCAATTTAACTGAAAACACCATAACATCTTATCCAACTCAAAACGGCTTTAAGACAACAAGTCTTTAATGAAAATAACTTTAAAATTCAGCAACATAAAGAAAACATGTGTTCATTCCCCCGAGTGCTACGTATCAGAGCGACAACACCGACTCGAACTAACGAAGGTAACAGTTATCCTTCTTGATTACCTGCATGTTATCAACAAAGGACAACATTCAAACAAAATGGGTGAGATATCAAACCATATAATTAAGTGTATGATAAACAATTTATTAGATTATATTATATAGAATTATCACTTCACAACTTTCAACCAAAATCAATCATCATAAGTCAACAACACAACATGTTAAATATGCAACACAGAATGTGACTCGTTACAATGTACGTGCATGTGGTACCAATGGAGTAAAACTCTTAATTTAGAAATCTATCAATTAATAGAGGCATCAACAAGGCATAAGCCTTCAACTTAATTTGTCAATCCATATCAACTTACCGAGCATCAGCTCCAACTTGATATGCTATGTATGCGACTCAATATGAATGTCAGGATAACAACAACAAAATTTCATAGCAACGCAACAACAAACAAACATTAGTCATAAGTTCACAACTTAATATTTTGTCCATAAATGTTAATTCACCCTTTTCAACAAAGAACACAATTCAACGAATCAACCAAAATTTATTACAACCAAACCACGTAACTATTTAGATTATTTCGACTATTTTCGATTAATTAATTATCTAAATGTGTATTTCTAATTACAAAACTTCTACAAATTATTATACTATAATACTAAAAATATTATCATTATTATTATTATCATTATTAGTATTAATATACTAATAAAAAATATGTATTAGTAGTTATAGTAGTTATATCTCCGACTTGAAATTATCCTCAATCTAACTCATTCACGTTACAGTAGTTATATATATTTCAACATTATCTTATTCAACATTATTTCATGCATAATATATCATTAACGAGATGTACGAGACAACAACAAAAATCAGTGCTTGCAATATGCTTTGGGAGATAACTAATTTTATTAATTCTTTTTGTTGATTGTATAGTTTATTATTTTTAACACATGGAACTTGGATAGAAATATTCTTTGATAGATAGATATAAGATCATATATTGAAAACATTAAATTCATTTCTCTTGAAGACAATAATCCTTTTACTTATGTCATACAATATTGAACAGATTTCATAACTATGCAATGCAATATGTATTACGCTACAGTATACCAGATTGTTTCATATAGAAAAAAACATCACATCTCATAAAACACAACTATTCATTATATTTAAGAATTACTCATCAAAACCTAACAATGTCAAAACCATAAAAATTAAGAATTTCAATTTAAACAGGTTACTATCGACTAATACACTATTATAGAGTCGGAATTTCACTCTTATTTTAGATTGAAGGTTGCTCTAACTCTCCGATTGCACCTAGCTTTGCCTCCTCTTTGCACTTCCATATATCTCTTCCAAAACTCTTATTCCTCTTTTGCCAAAAACCTATTCTTTCTCCTCTTACTGCTACTTCTACCTCTATTTTCCTATTCTTTCTCCTCTTACTGCTACTTCTACTTCTTTTTTCCTATTATTTCTAAACATCTAATATAATATAACTATTATACTATTATTCTTATTTTGCCTTGTTGGATTTAAATTTCTACACCTCCCTTTCTACTACTTCTAACATTAAAATAGACTCACGTGAATAATAATAGTATTATTCAATATTAATCCTACAATTTAATCAACTAATTAATTCAACTAAGAACGACATAACATAAATCAACATTTCACAACTTTAAAAATTTAATTGGAAGAATATTCGAAACTATTTAAGTAAATAATTAATTAAATATTGGGTGTTACAACTCTCCCTCACTTAGAATATTTTCGTCCTACAAAATTTATCTTGTTCGAACAACTCAGGATAGGAGTCCCGCATCTTGCTTTCTAACTCCCACGTCATGCTTTCTCCGGCAGCTCCTAGTCAGACTACTTTTACCAAAGCAATCTCATTGCCTCTTAGAGTCTTTATTTCACGATATGCGAATCATACAGGCATCGTCTCCATAGTAAGATTATCTCGTACTTGCACATCATCCATATGAATCTCATGAGATGAATCTGAAATATACTTCCGGAGTTATGACACATAGAACACATCGTACAAATTCGAATGATTAGGCGGTAAAGTCACTCTATATGCAACTTTGCCAACTATGTTCGAAATCTGATACGAACCAATAAAATGATGAGTGAGCTTCTTAGACTTCAATGCACGCCCAACACCAGCCACAAGTGTAACTCTCAGAAACACATGGTCACCTGCTTAAAATTCTAAATCCTTCCTTCGCTTGTCATGATAACTCTTATGTCTACTTTAGGAAGCTTTCATCTTTTCTCGAATTAACTTCACCTTCTCGGTAGTTTCTCGAACAAGTTCAGGTTCAAGTACTATGCTTTCCCCAGATCCATGCCAACATAAAGGAGTTATACATCTTCAACCATACAACGCTTCAAAAGGTGTCATTCCAATACTAGAATGATAACTATTATTATAAGTGAACTCTATTAACGAAAGATAAGTATCCCACAAACCTCCCTGCTCAAGAACACATGCTCTCAGTAAATCTTCCAACGACTGAATAGTCCTCTTTGTCTGACCATCCATCTGAGGGTGATACGCCAAACTCAACCTAAACTTAGAACCCAACGCATCTTGCAAACTCTTCCAAAAATCTGAAGTAAACCTCAAATCTCTATCTGAAACAATACACAAAGGAATACCATATAGTTTCACAATTACACTAGTGTAAATCTCCGCCAACTTTGATACTGGAAAACTGATGTTAATAGGAATAGAATGAGCCGACTTTGTAAGCCTATCAACAATGATCCAAATTGTATCATGCCCTCTTGACGTATTAGGTAACCCCGTCACAAAGTCCATCAAAATGTTATCCCATTTCCATTCTAGAACTTCTAACGGTTTCATCAACCCTGCAGGCTTCTGATGTTTAACTTTAGACTTCTGACAAGTTAAACATGCATACAAAAACCGAGCCACGTCACTCTTTATTCCAGGACACCAAAACAAATTCTTTAAATCTTGATACATTTTTGTAGCTCCCGGATGAATGCTTAACTTTCTTCTATGACTTTCCTCGAGAATCACTTTCTTCATCTTCGTATCATCAGGAATACGAATTCAATTACGGAATCTCAACACACCTTGCGTATCTAACTTAAAATCTTTATTCTCGGACTGATCGATTCCAACCATTGAGTCTACCAATTTCACATGTAACTTCTAAGCTTCTTTGATACTGTCCAGAAATTCATTGTTAATTTTCAACATTCCCAACATAACACTCTGCGGTGTCACTTTGCAAACTAAGCTCATATCTCTGAACTGTACAATTACTTCCAACTCTTTAACCATCATTGTCGAAATATGTAAAGTCTTTCGACTTAACGCATCGGCCACCATATTCGCTTTTCCTGGATGATAATTCAAACCAAAATCATAATTCTTTAACAACTCCAACCATCTTCGTTGTCTCATGTTCAATTATTTCTGATCAACTAGATATTTTAGACTCTTATGGTCACTAAATACTTCAAATCTAGAACCATAGAGGTAGTGTCTCCAAATCTTCAGCATAAAAACAACTGCAGCAAACTCTAAATCATGCGTAGGATAGTTCTTTTCATGAATCCTCAACTGCCTTAACGCATAAGCAACTGCCTTTTCATTATGCATAAGCGCACCTCCTAAACCCATCTTGGAAGCATCATAATATACAACAAAAGGTTCTCCTGGATTAAGTAATGTCAAAATTGGAGCCGACGTCAATCGTTTCTTCAATTTTATAAAACTTTCTTCACACTGAATATTCCATACAAAAGCTCTACCTTTACAAGTCAACTTAGTTAAAGGAAGTGCCAACTTAGAAAAACCTTCGATAAACCTTCTATAATAACCAGCTAATCCCAAAAAG